GTGCTGTACGGCTCTACAACTCTGATAGAAGGAAGCTTGGGGTCATGTAGAGTTTAGTGGCCGAAGGGATTGAGGGACGATGGGAGGGAGGAAGCAGGGGACTGAGGTGCACGACCCTTTCAGACCCGAAGATATAGGGACAGAATGAGTCCATTCGGCCCATCAAGACTGCTCCACCATTTGATCACGGCTGGCGCATTTCGGAATTCGACTCTCCTCCCTTCTCCCGGTAATGTTCAATTACCCCTTTCTAATCATGAAGCTCACTATCTCTGTCTCAGCTCCAGGTGGATAGAGAGGGGCAGGAAGGAGGGGGTGGGGGGGGCGTGGAGAGATGGAAGGAGGGAGAGAGGGGGTGGGCAGTGTCGGAGACTGAAAGAGAGTGTGCGTCAGAGACCGAGAGCGAAGACGGGGAGCAGAAGGTCGGGGGGTGGTGGTGACTGTAGAGAGCGAGAGAGAGTGACAGAGAGAGCCAGAGCGAGACAGAAAGAGAGGTGGGTAGGGGAAGAGAAAGAGACGTGGGTGGGGGAAGAGAAAGAGATTGAGAGAGAGAGAGAGTGAGTGTGAGTGTGAGTGTGAGTGTCAGAGTCTGTGCCAGAGACAGAGTTAGGAAGGGTGATGGAGGTAGAAAGAGACACAGAGAGAGAGAGAAAAAGAACGAGAGACACAGAGAGAGACAGACACAGACAGATGCAGAGACAGAGATAGAGACAGAGCGAGAGAGACGGACAGAGACAGAGAGAGAGACATACAGAGAGAGAGACATACAGAGAGAGAGAGAGAGACAGGGAGAGAGAGAAAGACAGGGAGACAGACAGAGAGACAGAGAGTGGAGATAGTCAGAGACTGCGCCGGGGACAGGGACAGAGGGAGGGTGATGGAGGTGGAGGGAGACACACAGAGAGACAAAGACAGAGATTTGGGCTCAGGCTTGTTTAGAGGGACCGAACGGTCTTCCGCTGCTGCTCCCGCTGTCCATGCAGACCACCACCCCTCACCCCTCACCCCTCACCCCTCACCGAGCTTGGCGGCGACCTCCTGGATCTGGGCGTGTGCCCGGGGGACCTCCGCCTCGGT